AACTTAATACTTTTTGCCCTTTAAGCTGCTGGTAACCTTAATTTCCTTAGGGAGTCTTCCCAAGGGATCAATAAAGTACAAGTCTAAGTCTAAGTCTAAGTCCAAACTGGCTTCTGATTGGCTTTGGGAACAACCCAGAACTGAAAATGTTGGAGACCGTTCCCTATAAATGAGACTAAGGTGGATTTTACCCGAAGGAACATTATTAAGGGACTAGACATTGGGAACATCCATAACTCAGGACGGCAGATGTAAATGAGCAACTATGCTATAATCTGGCTCATTTACAATCTGTACAGAAGTATAAGATTGTTCATTAATGTGCAATGTCCTATAATTAAATAAATAAATAAATAAATAAACGTTCGCCCTCCGATCGTTCGCCCTCACCTCAAATATCTCAAAGCCGGCGATGTCCAGGATCCCCAGGAAGGAGGAGGACTGCCTCTTGCTCTTGTCCAGCGTCTTGTTGACCCTGGCCAGGATCCAGCGGAACAGCCGCTCGTACATGGCCTTCGCCAGGGCCTCCACGGCAAAGTCAGCCTGGGGGGGGGCACAGATTCAACCTTTTTTGACCCAAGGTACATTTTTTCATTGAAAAAATCACGAGGCACACCACCAGACAAAAATGTTAAACAAATCTGTAGCCGCCTATAATAACACTATAGGTAGTCTTATCTTATCTTAAGTGTCTTGAATAGGAATCAAATAAACACAAAAATGTATTTTTATCACATCTTATATTTCTTCTTTCAAATTGCACTGAACATGTCCACTTCAATATACAAAATTAAATCTAGTCATAAGGAATCATTACATGATTACTCCACCAGTCACAAAAATGGCAGATTATTTGCAGATAATTAAGTCCTTACCAAAAAGTATTTTTAGACCAATTTAGTGAAATAGGATGATTTTCTACGGCACACCTGACCATCACTCACTAGTGTACCTCTGGAGGGGTTTGGTTCTGTGTTTGGTTCCTCTGGGTGTTTGGTTCTGTGTTTGGTACCTCTGGGTGTTTGGTTCTGTGTTTGGT